TATCGGAGGATCATAATGATTCTTATAGATGGGAGGTGAGCCTGACAAATTTACTAATTGTATCCGCTAATGGTTTTTCCTTAATGCATGTTTTGATATATGCGAAGTTGTGAACTTTTAAAGTTTAATTCTTGGTTTGCAGTGCCTTTTTAAAACTCCTTTGAACAATTACGATGCTGTGATTCTTCTCCACGGAGATAAATTACCTTACCCCCAACGTCTTCTCTTCTCGTCCGAATTAAATCAAGGTTCTTTATCTTACCTGAATTTTTGCATGGCCACGGTTTTATTGCTATTCTCTCTCCTTTTATGGCAATGCAACACTCAAATATTGGTATGTACTAAGTTTTCATTATGAGCATATCTTGTTCAGGGATGCATGTGGCACGTGGGAATGCGAGCAAGGTTTTTCACCCCTTTCTTTTGCCTGGTGATCTGAATGGAAACTCAGAGGACCTAAGGAATAAGCTATTGGTAAACTTTGATCCAATGAGGTGCTTTGTTGGGGATATAGAGGCAAGTATTATGCAATGCCTTAATTTTGACCATGATGCCGTTGCGTCCTATGTCATTCTGGGCCAATGCTTTCTTTGCTTACATCTTTTCTTGAATGTAGAAAGAGTACTCCAACACCTTCAAGCTATGGTATGATTCTCTGGGTGGTGATGCTGTTGGCATAACGTGGGGGAGATATAGTTCAAAGGTATAATTGGATGTGTTCCAACAGAATAAATGTGTATCCCAAATTCTCAATGAAAATTTTAAAAAATTATTATTCTACACATCTTAATCAGCTGTATTCTCTGATCCTAATATCTGCAGAAACGGGGGCGGGAAGAAGAAGCAGAGGAAGTAAAAGATCCAACTGATGTATTAAAAGATGTCGGTAAAGTTGGAAAAGGGTTTGTGAGGGGCATTTATCTTCTCAAAGCCCCAAGGCTCATGGGTTAAATCTATTATATCCTCAATTGCTCAAAGCTTTATGGGTGACAAGAATTTTACTGCTCAGCTGCAGCGGCTTTTTGACAAGATAAGCAACCCTCAGCTCCATTAATTTAAAGCCGAGGTCACCCATTTAGATCCTTGTCGCCATCATAAGCTTGATGTGCGGCCGCAGATTGAGCGAGTTTAGAGGGTCTTTTTTGTAACATGTGTATGATTAGGTTTACAAGTAATTGCAATGCTCATGACAGAAAGAAGCAAAAAAGAAAAAGGACAGTATTTGTATAGTCGTATTTCCAGCCATGAGAATTTTACTATGTGAAATTGTATTATGTTACAGTGAGCGGCTTGAGAGCAGCATTTTTGTTGATGAGAAATTCTTTCGAACTGTTTCATCTTGTTACTTGAAAGTAGCTTATGGCATGATATGCTCTATATTGTCGAAAAGAGCACAATTATCTCAGTAAGGCTTTCTTTTACTTGGATATGGTGGAATTTCATATCACATGATTAAGGTATTACATGATAATACAAAGGAACATAATTTAATATCATATCTTCAAAATTATGAGAACTATGATATTTAATATACGTGCCATCTTCGCCATAATCAATATCAAAATGTTTAAAATTGCTGTGGTAAAAACAATTGCAAAACCTCAGTTGAAGTCATTAATGATGGGGTTAAATCCCACAATTCTGAAACTGACGGGAAATTGTAGATTCATCTGCAGCTGCCATGTTAGCAACAAGAGCCTGGTCGCTAGTAACTACAGCAGTTGGAGTGCTTCATGAATGAGTTTTTCTGTGAGTTCTTTAGGTAGCCCCATCACTGTGTCAGTCGTCCCTACCTGCCACAAACCAAACGAAGCACATTGCAAAGAAATGTTTGAGAAGGCAGATCAAGAGCAATAATTGAGGGGCAAACTATTATGATTATTAATATATATGCATGCAAGATGCAAAGATATACTGAGGCTAAAATTCAAGTTTTTTGGTTGCTGAATCATTTGGAAGATGCAAGAAAATTTTAGAACACATTATTAGTGAAGCACAAGGAATGGGGCTAAAAAATGAAAGGACCATATTAAAGGCTCTCTTAGTTGGATCTCTGCAGCATATACATGAGATAGAGAGAAGAGAGAACTAACCACTGCTTCTACAAAAGGAGATATCAGTGGATGTTCCAGCATCAAACCCCCAGCGACATCGAGTGTAATTCCCTCCTCTATCTGGGCCAACATCAGACTCATAAACAAAATTCAACAAAGAAAAATAGCTCACAATGAAGTACCTAAAGTGATTATGTATCCAATATTTACCAGGCTATCAATAATCTCCTCTGGTATGATATGAAAATAAACCTGTACCACAACATCATCAAACAGATATTATAATTACCAAACTAACCATGAAGGATATAACTATCCATAATCTTTGTTAATCACAAACTTGAACCAAAAAAGGGAGAAAAGAAGGTTATTTCTGACATGTTGAAACTTGATGGATGCTCCTTAGGACAGGACAGCTAAAGAATGAGCTTAAGCTGTAAAAGAATAAGTACCTCCGCTCTGCAACATCCACCTTTTCTTTTTCCTGTTTTAAGGTTGGTCACAAATACAGATCCTATAACTGCTGCTTGACCGCCAGAATAGCCTGCAACCCACAAAGACTTGACCACTACATCCAGCTAATTTTAACAAAGGGAAAAGGTGGACAGTTTCCATTTAAGCAAACCTTTGATAAAATTCCATGCTTCTTCCTTGCTGGATGGTTTTTCCCTTGTTATCCCTTCATACACCACCACCTCAAAATCAATAAGACGCAGTAGTAGTGAGAATTAACCTTTAACTGCACAGTACATGCCAACAACACAAGAGACACTCACTAAAATTCACTAAAAGAAAAAACAGCTTCTGATGTTTTTTTACCTGTAACATGTTTTCTGGATAAGTGGGCCACACTTAAAGAGCAAATGGAATTACCAGACCACAGTAAAGGGGATTTCAATTACAGAATTTTAGAACAGAGACATGTTCTATTTCGATTCTTAGCGAATGAGAAACTAATCTATGTCAAAATCAGATACATTTCAAATAGCAAGAAGTTGAAAAATGTAAATATATTACATATAAACGCATACTGTGTCCGCAGTAATCAACAGTGTTGCATGAGCATCTTCATCCGGCTGACTTGTACTTTGAAGCCTTGAAATTATGGCATCTGCCTAACAAAAATAAAAAGGGAGGCAAGACACACTTGAATGAAAGTTATATTCTCATAAATATAATTCAAAAGTCATGCAAACTGAAAAGTAATGCATATAAATTAGAATCTCAGTTCTACATTGCAATTCTTGTAAAACAAAATTGAACCCACTTATTTGACCAGCAAAGTAAAACTAAAGAAATTACAAAACCACCACCAAATTGAAAGAAAGCAAAGAAAAAAGCAAAAGTGGACAAAGAAGACGTACTTTGGCCTCAGCTAGAACCATCACCAATTCCTCAGGCTTATCCATCCTTATACTTTTTTCGTCTATGTCTGCAGTCTTGACCCATAAACCAGATCAAAAATTTCAATGGCTACCCATTAAGCAAGACCAAAAAAAGATTGCTTCTTTTGTATAAACACAATGTACCATGATTGTGAATTCGTATCCCATCTCCGCTAGTATTTTCCGTCGTGCCATTGACGCCGAACCCAATATTATCTGTCGTAGAAAAGATTAGAAATTTCTGCAAATTCGCTTCTTTTAAACACCGAAAATTTATGGGTTAAGGTTAATTTGTAATGACGAACCTGAAATGACATCTTTGTCTCTGCATTCACTTTCTGCTTTATCAAATTATCAGAGAGAACTGCAAAGCACTGGCTGGCTGTGACTGAAAGTATACGTACAGTTTCCGTTTTGGGCCTAATGGTTCAACTCGGCCCAGTTCAAATCGCATTTTTATCCAGAATATACCCTATATCCGACGGCGTCGTTTTGCATTTTGGAAAGAGTTAATATCACATGGCCGCATTGGCGCCTTTACCTCCTTCCCCAAGTCAGTTTCTTTTACCTCCATTTTGTTTTCCTGCTCAGCTCCTCAGGACCTCAGTGCGCCAAATACAGCAACGAAGACGTTTTAGTATTACAAATTAAATCGACGGCGACTATGGGTTCTTGTAGAAAGAAAATTTTTGGGAGTGGCAGCTTTGTGTCGATTTTGAGGGATCACATTCATGAATTTATTCATGCCTCAATGGATGAACACAGAACTTGCATGAAAGAGACAGTGCGGAAGGTACGCTTCTAGCCTCTCTCTCTCTCTCTCTCTCTCTCTCTCTCTCTCTTGTTTGCAGAACATGTATTTACTTAGTGGCAGATTTATATTTGTGAATTGTTGGAAATTTAGGAGATAATTAAATATGATTCTGGTTTTGGTTTGGTCTAAAACAGATGTTTGAAAGGGCAAAACTTTACAGAGAAAAGAGTGGCGGTGGCCCAAAGGAAGGAGAAACACCACTGCCTTTGCAGACAACTACAGATTAGGAACATTTTGTGAGCTTTTCTGTTTTCTGGGTTGCAGAGAAAATAGTAGTGTAAGACATTTTTGAGATTCTTTTCTAGCATTTATATAGGTTATGTGATTGGCATGAATGACTAGAAATGTATAGAAAGCAAATGCTAGAGTTCTTATCAATCAATTGCTATTGCGCATGTGCGTGTGAGTGACTGACGCAGCAAACTTCATGATGACTGGAATGATAATATAGTTTAGTTGTTAGCCGGTTTTCGTTGGCATGCTAACACTCAAAACGTGGAAAATTAGCAGTTTACATCCAAATGATTCAGTGTTTCATGCCCTTTTTGGGAATGATTTGAATCTTACAATGTTAGTTGCAAACTTATTGTAATGAGTTTAAAAATGTGTCACTCAGTTAGAGTAATATGTTATTTAATGCTTCCTTTCTTTAATTTTGAACCTAAGATTTCTTCCCCTAACCCCAACCCACCCTATGTGACTAAGTGCTAAGGCTCATGTGATATGCATCCTTTCTTTAAATAATGATGAGAAATAAGTAAGCAATAGCATATGGGATGATTCTTCCTGGGTACATGTGCAAGACAAAAGTATATTGCATCTAGAAGTTACAGGAACAAAAAAGGGAAAGGGGTAGGGGGGAGTGGGGTGTTATGAGTTAATTTCTAGATCCACTTAAGAGGAATTTGGTGCTCTGTCTACTTCTGGAGGGCGTCTTCCTTTAGAGCTTTAGGATCTTCAGCCTGAAGAAGAAAAATGGAAGTTATTATACAGGCAGCTTGTAGTGTTTTCTGAACTAAGTGCTTTCTAGTGCTGCAAATCATCATCAATGAACAAAATTTCTTCCAGTATAGGAACAAAAGATATGAGCAAGGAGTAAGCAATGTTCTTTCATCCACTATGGCTTTAACTGTTAGGATGAAGAGCAGATAATGACAATGTTGAAAGTGCGACTCCACCTATGAAGAAGATTCAAGCTCATGCAAAATGAAGAATAAGAAGGTTAGTATCAAATTAAGGGTCGAGGTTATCTAAGATGGACTTCTATGCTTTCACAAGCACAATAGTGATACATAGAATCCTTATATTTGTGAGTATGGATTTAATACAGAAGTGTGTTTCACTTGTTACAGTTGGTGATATCATAGAACAGTTCATATATCTTGTGGTTATAGAAGGTCTGAATATGGTTAACCAAGGATTTAGAAGCTGTTTGTCTAGTCTTCATCTTATCAAGTAATAAGGAGAAGCGTATTACCTCTTTTCTTCATTGCTGATGTTACTTGCTCCAACTTTCCTATACTTAGGAAGGGGAACTTTGCCTGACTCAATGCGCTTGATGTCTGATAGAAGGATCTCATACTGCCTCTTCACTTCCTCTTCAGTCGTCCCTCCAACAATCCTGGCTATCTTGTGCCAACGATCAGGGGTTTCCTCATCATATGTTGCCAGAGCGTTTTCGAACAATTTGTTTTGTTTGGCTGTCCAATTCAAACTGGGTTGCGGGGAAGAAAGCTTGCTCATGTTTCTGAGATATTAGAGCAACGATTAGTATGTCGAAAGTGATCAGAACAAAGTTTCTATTTAAGAGAGAATGAATTCGGGTGATAAAAGGATTGGAAAAAATTGAAAGGGAAAGCCTAAGGCAGAGAAGCTGAATGGTATAGAAAGTCTGAAATATAAAGAAAGGTAGTATAATTAAGTCAAGGGACTAGCAAAGAAGAGATCACAGGATCACTGTTCATGCAAATGGGGTGATGCAAGTTGGCAGACAAAATTTCTGGTTTGCATATTATAAAATATTATGTGTTTAGAATAAGAAGCAGAAACTAGGAACAGAGAGAGAGAGAGAGAGAGAGAGAGAGAGTTCTGTGATTCCAAGGACAGTCAATTGCTTCCTTTCCAAGTCTTTTTTTAATTGGAAGTACGATGATCTAATATTATATTATTATAAGCATGTGGGTTTTCATAAGTAGAGGGGAGAATCATTAAAGAAAGAACCCACTCACCTTTTGAGAATAATTAGATGTCATCGTGAAATGTTCTTTCCTTAAATTTTATCATTGCAAAACAGTGTTGGTTAGGAGAATCTGGCTTGCCTGCTTAGTTAATTTCACTTCCAAGAAAATGATTGTAAAACTGTAAATCCAGATTACGTCTTCCAAACAACTTCTTGATATTTATTGATACAAAAGAAACAAATGTTGCTGTAACATGTATATGTGTGCATCGTACATTATTATTATTAAACAAATTCTTCTTCCTAGTTTTCTGGAAGTGGCAGGACCATGTTGTGGTTACTTACAAGAATCACACTTCTTTATTTAACTACTGTGTAAAATTGGATACTCTCTGGTCCTAGTTTTATCCTGTATTTCTAGTTTCTGTCTGACTCTAGAAATGAGAATTTGGTTTTCTTGGGTCATTGTTCATCAATCCAAGCTTATTTTGTTTTCTTTTTGTTAGTCATTTATCTCTACTAGGTAATTCAGTGCATATGAAATGGTATGATATGCATAGGGTTCCATTATTGTAGCTTTTGTCCATAAATGGAGATAAAGAAAAGGGTGTTTCTTTGTCTAATCTGCTTGTCTATATTATATTATTCATCAGTGTGGAACAAAACTCATAAGCCCATGTGAAGTTTCTCATATTTGCTAGACTTTTTCTTGTCCTTTGAAATCGGCGGATTGGGTAATGAAAGTGCATGCTTTGTGTTCTTTTGAGGTTTGCTTATCCTGTTTTTTGAGAAAAAAAAAATTGATTATTTTAAGTATAGGATGATCATGTTTAGGAAAGTTTAAAGCTACACGCTTATCTTGAGCTATTACCCCCAAGGAAAGCATCTTTCGGCATCATCTCTAAACTATTCAACCCTGAATGTGATGTGAACCCGTAGCCTCATTTTTCTGGTGCTTAGCCCTGAAGGAAAACAAAAAGAATAAAGAAAAAGCAGCAGCAATTTCAGGATGATATTTATCAGGAAGAATTGGGATCCTTTACCTGTATTTTTTCTGCTAATAAAACTCAAATTGTTCTTATCCCAAAAGTGATGATCATCTCTGTCTGTGTTTGGGGTTGTGTTACCCCCCTTTTCACCCGAAAATAAAGTGATGATCTCTCCTTTATAATTTGCTTTGCTTTTCAGGCTCTTTATCAATCAACTGGGGAAAATGACTGGCTGGATACTTGGTGCTTAAGAATTAGTTATTTGACAAATTCATCCCATACAATTACTAACTCTACGAAAATACAATAACCTTTTCGAGCACAGGAGTTTGAAATGTGATTCAACTCTAGTGCAACCCCAAAACCAAATTTAATAAAATAATAAAAACCATCCCAAAGTGATTCAAGAGAAGATATTAGTTATAAGAGCATCCACAGTAGGGAGCTGTATATGGGGGTGTATGTTAAATATACATCCTAAGTCACCGAATCGTCTCTAATGGATATAAATATACATCACCACCATGGAAATGTAAAATAAAATGTATATTTACATCTATTTTTACATCCTTGCAGGCGGGACCCACCCAAAAAAAGAGAAGAAAAATGAAGAAAAGTTAGCATAAAAGGCTGAGACCCACGGCTACATCCCTGAATTTACACCTCCCACTGGAGCAAAAAACATATTTACACCCTTATGAAGTGTAAAAGGGATGTAAAAGTAGTTTTACACTCCCGAATTTACATCTCCCCACTGTGAATGCTCTAAGGTTCACCAAGAAATCATGGACAGCTTGTGAGGTCTATACCGTTTTGTAATTTTGGGACACTTCTAAATCCATTATATAGGACAACATGGATAATTTCTTCAATGTTTCTCTGCAAATTTGACTCTAAGGGCTGTAAAATGTTGTGGCCCATTCTTTTCTTCCACATGCTCTTATAAGGTCCGGATGGGCTGATTGCCGAGAAAGGCCCGGTGACTTATAAGACTCTACTTACAAATTAAGGCCCAGTTTATATTTTCCTTTTTCAGTTGTATCTTGTCAAAATTTTACTGAATAAAATAGGTGCATATTTTATTCCAACTTTTCCCGTTTTGTATTTTACTAACTAGGCTACAGACAGAACCAAACAAATCGCGAGGGAAACGTAGATGACATGACCAGCGTCCGACGTGGCCGGGTCCCGCCCACCCTAACGACCAAAAAGAAAACCAAGTCTCACTGCCCACTGGCCAGTGGCCGCTGCACGCAGCAGCGGAATTGAAATGTTCGTTTGAACAAAGCTCATCCCACATTGAAGGAACTACCTCTTCCTCCATGAAACACACAACAAGAAGCTCCCAAACTCTACGCGCATCATCTGGACTCGATGTTGTGGCGAAGAGCCTTCAGCACCGCCGCCGCCAAGCGCCACCTTACGGCCAAGAAATGGGACGCGCTGATCATCGGCGCTGGCCACAACGGCCTGGGCGCCCCG